CGTCTCTTCCTCTTCCTCCAACCCCCTTTCTCTAATTCTGCCCCTCTTTCTTATTCTTCCTCCCATCTCTCGACCTCTCCTCTTCCTCTCCTCATTTCCTCCTCCTCCTCCTCCTCCTCCTCCTCCTCCCCCTCCTCCCCACTTGGCAAGGGGAGATAATATAAAGATACAAATTTCCCCTTGAAAGTAACATTAACGTCACCTTCCATTATTCTTCCTCTCTTATTGTCCCCTTTTTTGTCTCCCCTCTCATCGATTTTCCTGTCTTCCTTCTTTCTTGCTTCCCCCTTTGAGTACAATGATTTCACCTCATGAGTACGATTATTTTTTTACCCTTTGAGTACGATTATTTTACCTGTTGAGTACGATGACTTAACCCCTTGAGTCTTGGCTTAATTTCTGTATTATTTATCTTATTGTTAATTTTTTATTTCCCTTTACTTCTTAATCCTGTGTTATCGCGCCCTTAGTGATGGTGATGGTGATGGTGATGGTGATGATAATGATGATAATGATAATGATGATAATGATAATGATGATAGGAGTAATGATAAACATGATGATGATGATGATAATAATAATAATATTATAATGATAGTTCCTCCCTCCCTCACCTCCACCTCTCCCTTCCCCCTCCTTCATCCACCCTCCCCTCATACCTATTACCAATTCTCTCTGGTCTTAATTAAGGGGTCAGAGGTCAAGGTCAGGTGAAACGTACGAAAGAAACTAATTTATTTTGATCCTGTCACGAGAAAATGGCCACTGTGATGTTTGTTGGTAATAGTGAGTCATTTATCATAGTCTTACCTTCATTAGGAGTAAGGCATAGAAAACGGGAGGAGGATTAATAAGAGAAAATGGGAGAGGAAGTACAATAAACCTGAAGAAATGAGGAGGAAAGAGGATAGTAAAACAAGAGAGAGATAGGAGGGAAAGGAAGAAGAGATAGAGTGAACGAAGATGTAAAATGAGAGAGAGAGAGAGAGAGAGAGAGAGAGAGAAACATTTACAGTGGGAGACGTGTGCCTGGGTGACGCTCAAATATATCTGAGTCTTTTATGAAGGAACACGCCCCCCCCTGTTTCCTACCTCCAAGATAAATAAAAAAGGTATTTGTTGTAGAGTAAAGGACGTACACACACACACACACACACACACACACACACACACACACACACACACTCTCGACCTTCATATCATGTGTAGGTGCAGGCGACCCCAGCTTATGGGTATGTAGGACAAGTACACACAGGCACACATGTTGGTGTACATGTGCTCACAAACACAAGGAGTTATTTGCGTTTGTACATACACACATGCGCTCACAAACACCTGTATGTGAATGGCGTTGTATTTCTTCACAATGCAACAATTAAACCTTTACAAAAACAAACTAAAAATATTTGTTTTAGGATATTGTCTACAAAATGTTAATATAGTGTGAATTCGTCGGGACGGCTGGAGGACTCGTAAGCTGTCAGTGATGGCTGCTTGGCCCCATCCCGGGAGAAAAGTTCTTTGCGTCAATCTCAGTCAGTCAGGGTCGGTATTCACAGAGCTGACTGACGCAGTTAATAGGGGTGGAGAAGTGTAGGTGGGGGGCAGGGGGAGGTGGAGTTGAGAGGTGTGAGAGGGGACTAGTGGGTGTGGTGAGTGGGGGGGGTGCCACGTGTGTGTACGGACAGGATACAACTACCATAAACATTGATGGACGTAGGGTGGGCCATCAGCTGCTTCTTTGTCTGTTACCAACCCACCCCTGAGCCAACCCACCATGATACTCCTACCCACCACGATACTCCTGCTCACTCCTGCCTAACCCACTACTATACTCCTGCCCTAACCCACCATGATACTCCTGCCCACCCCTGCTTCAGCCCACCCCTTTCCACTCCACTCCACTCCATCTTTCCCACCGCACCTCACCCCTACCGACCTTAAAGCTCACTTCCCTCACCCTTACTCACCTCTCGTTAATTCTCTCATTATGTTATTAACCTGGCCTGCTTCTGGGGTGAGAGAGAGAGAGAGAGAGAGAGAGAGAGAACAACATGGAATGAATGAGGAGAGAAAAATAAAGATATTTATTATTATTATATTATTATTATTATTATTATTATTATTATTATTATTATTATTATTATTATTATTATTATTATCACACTTAAAAGATATAAATATTCCTCAAATTGGCCATAAACTGCGTTAACGAGGACTGGTTAAAAAAATAAACAATATCTCAAATCAAGCAGAATTAGTATAGCATTCATAGAGTTAAATGACGCAGCTAATTGAGTGCCGCTGAGCTGTGTCTTTCCACCTATTTCTCTTCCTCACTTTCTCTTCTTTCCTTCACAGCGGAGGGAGGGAGGGTGAGAGGGAAGGAAGGAGGGGGTAGAGGAGGGTCGTGTTTGTGGTAGTTTCTCTGGTGGGCTAAACAGTGTGGCGTGGAGGGGTTGGGTGCAGGAACACCTTGACTGGTCGTAACACTGGCCAGCTCGTCATAAACCACTTACAAACAAACTCTCGCCCACCAGACTCACTGTGGCGTAACGCTATGCCTAGTTCATCTTGGCCATGTTTGTTGGGTGAGGGAGAGACGTTGGTGGTGTTGAGTCATATTGTTATTTTCTGTGGGTGTTGCGTCATATTAGTGCTTCTCTTGCTGTTGCGTCATATTGGTGCTTCTGTTGGTGCGTCTTACTGTTGTTTTTGTTACTGGTGCGTCTTACTGTTGTTTTTGTTACTGGTGAGTCTTACTGTTGCTGCTACTGCTGGTGCTTCTTTTTGCTACTGCTGACGTTTAAGGCAGATGGAACTGATAAGATGCGGGCACATGATGCAGATGGTATTGGTAGTGGTGGTGGTGGTAGTGGTAGTAGTGGTATAGGCAGTACTGGTGTGGTGGTTCTGGTAGTAGTGGTATAGACAGTACTGGTGTGGTATGTGGTGGTAGTAGTGGTGAGGGGACATGTAATAAGAACATTTAAAAGTGCATAATCACAGGAAGGAAATATCTATTCATAAATTAAATTCCAGTAGAGTTAAATATTGGATTGCTTAACATGGTATATTAATCCAGTAATTATCATGTTTAAGCTAAAAGAGACATGACACATTCAACCCAGAAAATAATCGAAATTTAAGGATAGTCTTACTCCTCCCGTGAGACTGAGCTGCTTCAATACTGTTGGAGGAAGGTATAATTCTCTCTCTGTCTTTTATTATGTAGATTATGTTGTCTACGTAAGTGTTGGGCAGAAATTATTGTGGTTTTATTTATTTTATTCTTTTATCGTATATTCTTCTTGTGGGAAATTCGTGGCTCAGACCAACTCCCCGCAGACTGGACCAGGTGAGGCTAGAGTCCTACACCAGTAACAGGATGTGATGTCCCTCCTCTGTGTGTGTCTGGAAACTTTGTCTACCAAATAGGTTTACAGAGAAGCCAATGGAGATGTAGTCACACTTGCTGCCGATGAGAAAGCGTGTTCATGCATTTCTTTTGCTTGTAACTATTGAGGGTGATTAACTATTGCCGTCTTCTGTATATATACGTAAAATCAATTCGAGGTTGATTATTTTTGTGTGATTATAGGTCAAAAAGGAAAGCATTTATTCCACAAGAGAGAAAATAAGGTAACTGGAGACTAAAAGTATTGTGTGATGGGAAGAAACGTTTACCTTTTCACCTAACACACACAGTGGGGAACAGGGACCTCTAGGCTGGACAATAGGATCAAAAAATACAGGCGTCACCTTACCAGGGGCTCGGTGACCTGGGAAACGCACCCCCAGCAGCGACACCCACAAGCTGGAGGGAGAGCCACTGTTGACCCAGCCATTTAGCTGAGTGTATAACCAATCCTGAGGTGTTTATTTAACCAGCCTTTTATGATAGTGGAGTGCGGGCGGAATGGTCGAGCCGTATCAACAGATGAATGGGGGAGACCTGCCCCTCCTCTCCCTTCCGTCTCCCTCACTTTTATTACTTCCTCCTTCATTCTACGCTACGTCTGTTTATTTTCCTAACCCAGGACGCGCGAGTTTGTCTTCATTTGTGTCCCTCCGTGTGCACCACCCTGGATCAACACATGAGCCGAGGGAGGGCAGGCTGACGGAGTAACACCAGAAGTAGAGTAATGTCAACAGTAGCAGGAGTAACAGTAGTAGAAATGAGTGACAGTAACAGTAGCAGCAGTGGTGTTAGTGTTATCCTTGGCTGTGTGGGTTATGGGTCGTGTTTCCTAGAACATCCATACACGTGTTGTACCATCACACCCACCACGACCACACCCACTTCCACCACACCCATCACACCCACCACCACACCCTTCACACCCACCACAACCACACCACACCCACCACACCCACCACTACCACATTCACCCCTCATGTGTATGACCCAACCTACTGTACACCCATTGACGAACCCGATTATCTATTCTAAATCAGAGTGAGGATAATGCTTAATGTTAAGTGTTTACTAGTTTTATATCACGCATATACCTTTTGATACCATAAAGGAACTTACCTGTATGGTTTGAAATATACTAATCAGTCATCAATTATTGTTAGACTTTTTTTTTTTGCTTTAGGACAAATTGCAAAAAAAAATATTCAGGTACCACTGACTCGCCTTCCGAATGATGACGTCACTACCGTACCTCTGGCAACGCCCACGAGGACATGACGAAGAGAGCGAGCGAGTTTTCTGTTGAACTGACTGATACATTTCACGGGGAAGCTGAAGAGACATCTGAGGGCTCACTGGTCTTGTTTATAATGAAGCTTAAACATAAATACACTGATGTAGGTTGGATGAGCTGAGTCATATTCTGTCACTCACTCTCCCTTCCTCTCACCCAGTGTCTCTCCCTTATACAGGTCACTCACTCACTCTCCCTTCCTCTCACCTGCCTTCTCTCCCTGTTGCAGGTCAATCTCTCTCTCTCTCATTCAATCACTCACTCTCCCTCCCTCTCTCCCTGTCGCAGGTCTCTGGGCAACCGGGCCATCATGGATCACTCCCGCATCTGCCGCAAGAGAGGCCGTCGGCTGTCCAAGGACCCTCAGAGCATTATCTGCCGCAAACAGCCTATGTTCCAGTTGATCCTGGAGGGGGCGCAGGCGGCCATGAAGGAGTGTCAGTTCCAGTTCGCCAGTCGCCGCTGGAACTGCTCCGACAACAGGCGGTCGCTGAAGAAGATTCTCAGCAGAGGTAAGAACAATCTGGAACGTTTTTATAAGGGTTCTGAAACGTTTTTATAGGGGTTCTGGAACGGTAGTGAGAGAGGTTCTGGAATGTTGTTAGTGAGAGGGAGAGAGAGTCAACAGAGATATCTTAAATGGGAATAAGTGTTGGAATACCTCAAATCTGTAAACCATTTATAGTGTTGGTGACGTTAGGTCATTTTGGCCCTGGGAACCTTTTAATTCATTTCTCATCATATCAGAATTTTATTAAACACTGGAGGAATTTTTGTCGTGAAATTAATTTTATTTCTCGGATTTTAAATGTCAGAGGACTTTTTTGCCGTGATTTTTATATAACATTTCTTGGAATAAAAAAATTTCGATGAATGGAGGAATTTCTTAGAACATTACACCCATATCCAGTATATAAATGATCAACATGTTTCTTCTCCCCCAGACACACCCGAGACTGCCTTCCTGAATGCCATCGTGTCGGCGGGGGTGACCCATGAGTTGACTGCGGCGTGCTCGAGGGGTGACCTTCCTCAGTGTTCCTGCAGTAGAAACTCACTCGGCGCCGTCAACTTCGGTACGTTCTGACCGCCGCCGCCTCCTCACCTATCACGGGGCTGTGGAGTAGAGAAACCCCCCCCCCCCTTTAGAGTTTAGAGGGCAGGGGTTTCTCTCACCTAAATTAAATCGTCTGGCGTTACCCATAATAAAGCACCTAAGGGGCTACTTTGCCTTCTAAAGGGTTAATGATAATTGTAATTTTTATTTAAGCTAGACGCATTGTCACACGCCGTCTGTATTATCATAATGAGTTAATATTTCGTTTTGGTGTTTTCTCAGGTAATTAATTTCTTACCATTTTCATTTTAGGGAAGAAAAAAAAGAAGCCAAAAAGTGAAAAAAGAAAGAAGTTCGAACTTCCAAGTAGACGTAAACAGCGAGGTCGAGGCGGGAAGAAGAGAAGAAGAAAAGAGGGAAGAGGAACGTCAGATGTAGCCAGACGCAACAGAAGGCGACGTGTGGAGGCGCGGGAGGAGAGGCAGTGGACACCCAACTTCTTCGATAACTCCCTGGCAGAACGGGACGACACCGTGACGAGACCAGGACGACCACTTTCAACGAACGAGGTTGCAGAGAGAAAAGGAATGGCATCAGGAGAAGCAGGAATGGTGCCAGAAGCGGGAATTACGCCCGGGATGCCTGGGGCGTCTGGAGAGGAGTGGCACTGGAGTGGTTGTGACGATAATGTTGGGTTCGGCTACCGCATGGCTAGGGACTTCATGGACTGGCGGTACTTGAGGCGTCGGGAGAGTCGTGACATCCGCAGTATTGTCATGCTCTGGAACAACGAGGCTGGCAGGCGGGTGAGTGCTGGTGGTGATAGAGGAGAGTGGTGGTGATAGTGGTGGTGATAGAGGAGAGTGGTGGTGATGGTGGAGTGTGGTAGTGGTGATAGAGGAGAGTAGTGGTGATAGTGGTGGTGATAGTTGAGAGTGGTGGTGATGGTGGAGTGTGGTAGTGGTGATAGAGGAGAGTAGTGGTGATAGTGGTGGTGATAGTTGAGAGTGGTGGTGGTGGTGGTGGTATATTGATGGAGAGTGGTGGTAATGGAGAATGGTGGTGGTGGTGGTGGTGTATTGATGGAGAGTGGTGGTAGTGTGGTGGTAGTGATAGTGTAGTGGTGATAGAGGAGAGTGGTGGTGATAGTGGTGGTGAGAGTGGTGGTGATGGTGGAGTGTGGTAGGTGGTGATAGAGGAGAGTAGTGATGATAGTGGTGGTGATAGTTGAGAGTGGTGGTGATGGTGGGAGTGGTAGTGGTGATGGAGGAGTGGTGGTGATGGTGGAGGTGGTGGTGGTGATAGAGGAGAGTAGTGGTGATGGTGGTGGTGATAGAGGAGAGGTGGTGATAGTGGAGTGTGGTAGTGGTGATAGAGGAGAGGGTGGTGATAGTTGAGTGGTGGTGATGGTGGAGTGTGGTGGTGGTGATAGAGGAGAGTGGTGGTGATAGTGGTGGTGATGGTTGAGTGGTGGTGATGGTGGAGGTGGTAGTGGTAGAGGAGAGGGTGGTGATAGTGGTGGTGATAGTTGAGGAGTGGTGGTAGTGGTGGTAGTGAGTGGTAGTGGTGGTAGCGTGAGTACTAGTGTTAATGGGCATAGATGAATTGTTCCGGGTGTTACGATGGCAAAATATTTATATTTCTATGTTCGTGTGTGTGTGTGTGTGTGTGTGTGTGTGTGTGTGTGTGTGTGTGTGTGTGTGTGTGTGTGTGTGTGTGTGACGGATGATAAGAACCTCTAATTTATCATACTGATGAACGTTTCCTGCCCCTTAATATTTTTTTGTGGTCTGGGAGGGGGTCATTCCACATTACCTCCGTCATGTGTGACTGTAATGTTGATAGTGATAAGATCTTATCTAACCGGATATCCCCCACTCTGTACATATATATATATATACCATTAGACCATATAGCACGCGGACTTCAACACACACACACGAACAGCATAATTAACAGAGGTTTGTTAAAGACTAATATGTACTTTTAGCATGTCCATTTATGAGGCAAGTGAGGATGTTTATACCCGGTCAACAAGGCCATTAGGCAGCCATTGTGGAGGTCGGCACCATTAAGTCGGTCTTGTGTTAATAGTGTCACCAAATCCTCCACCAGGGGCATAAAACTACTTGTCTCACCCGTCAAGTTTGGCAGCCTCGACTTATATAGCAGTCCAGGGCTGTTGCCACTTAGTGTGTTTTTTGTAAGGCTGTGAGGAGCATCATTAGATTTTGTATAGCCAGAGGAAAAATATTCTGAATGAGTGCCTGGGCGAGGAGCCGATAAAAGTGACATTTACTGCCCCGGTGCTTAAGTTATTTAGTCTATCCTGGCGTGGTTAAACATATTCACACCCAAACTAGCTGACCAGTAACAAGAACTGCCGCCACAGTTAGACGTCTGCGTGGCCACAATTTGACGTCCTTGTGGCTTCAGTTACACGTCAGCGGGCCACAGTTAGACGTCATCATGGCCACAGTTAGACATCATTATAACCAGTTATACATAAGCGTGGCAACAATTTGATGTCATTGTAGCTACAGACGTCGTCGTAATCATAGTTTGACGTCATCGTGGTCACAATTTGACTACATTGTATCTGCAGTCGAGCGTCATCATGGACACAGTTAACACCTCCGGTCTTCATAACCAGATATTTTTTCCTTAAGTGTTGTTGTTGTTTCTCTCTTACTATTCCTCTCTCCCTCCACCTCCTCCACCTCCCCCTCCACCTCCACCTCTCACCTCCCTCCCTCCACCTCTCACCTCCCTCCTCCACCTCCCCCTCCACCTCCATCTCTCAGCTCCCCCTCCACCTCCAACCTCCACAGTCATGGTACAGTCTCAGACACATTACGACGCCATCTTTACTCACTTGATTCGTTTCTATAGTGAAGTAGTTGTTCTTGTATTCTATGTTGGGGAAGAATAAACTTACGGTACCCTGAGCACCGGATAACGGACACCCCTGAGCACCGGATAACGGACACCTCTGAGCACAGGATAACGGACAACTCAGCACTGGATAACGAATACAGTAACTCTGAGCACAGGATAACGGACAACTCTGAGTACAGGATAACGGACACTTCTGAACACCGGATAACAGACAAGTACCGGATGACGGGCAGTAACGCGTCTCAGGACCTACAGCTTTCATTCTTCTGGTTCACACATGTTACTTTAGCGAGTATAAAAACCGGTGTCACAAAAACAGCGCCAGCTCGAGCAACCAACAGCGTCTGGCGTTCTTTTTGGCGACTCATGTAACTGTAGTGGATGCTGTATAAGACGAGTAATGTGTGACTTGTGCCTGCAGCGCAGGTTAATGGTACAAGTACCAGTGTTAAGGCGTCGCCCACCCCCACACACCTGCCAGGTGACGACATGAGCCAGAGGCGGCCCAGGGTGGTTTAGTGCTGGTGACGTATCAGACGACACGCTCACTATCTCACTCTTAATTATGTCAATTATTGTGTTGAAAAAACTTGTCTGATGAGACAAACTCGTCTTTGAGGAGGCTGAGTGACGTAACGATGTTGTTAATGTTTTAAGAAGATGTGAGAGAAAGAAAATTATTGTTGTATATAATTATATATATTGTATATTATATTATAATGTATACAGTATAATTATAAACGTTACGTATGACCCCCGACTCCCTCCACCTGATGTGTTGGTCCCTCACCTGTCCAGGCTGTTATTAACACCTGGTGTAATGGGTGGTGGTATGACCTGACCAAGGCGTCTCGCACACGCCCTGGTTGACAATGAAGTCCTGGCTTAAGGATCGATGATATCACCTGGTCAGGACGTCTTACACCTGCCCTGGGTGGTAATTAAGACCAGGTGTAATGAGTGATGTTGTCTTGTCTAAAACAACCAACACCTGGTCTGTTGGCTGACCCCTAAACCCCCACCACCAGTCAGATCCAGGGATAAAGGGGTTAAAAAAGTCGTTTATCCCGGCGGCCGCAGCGACGCGCCCTGAGATACGCCTCCATTATCGTGTTTATGGAAATTTTAGTGTTGGGCGACGCGACGCTACCAGACATTAGCTCCCGTGCGATCTTGCTTATTAAGGCCACACGGATAGATGGTAATTAGTGATGGTTTGTAAAAAAAGTTTACTGATTAATTATCGAATATATTACGGGTGTATTAGTAATGCTTCACTTTATGTCGGTGTAATGACTTGACCTCAGTACAGTCAGCGAGAAACTACTTTTTGCCTTATTAAGTTGCTTGAACAGTTATCCTGTCTGCTCACACCAGTTAAATGTCTAAGAACTTCTGCACAGACGATGAAGAACCACTTAACGTTTTATGAACATTTAGAGCACATACTTACACCACTTATATGGCTGTGTTACCCACGAAAGGTGATGGTGAACCTACCTGACGTTTCATTAAGTGTCACTAACATATTTACCTCCTATTTATGCTACCTATATATTGACTCTCTTCCCACACAAACGATAGAGAACTGACGCGTGTTTCCTGAACATTCACACCACCTCCCCACGCCCTCTACAGTCACCCACAGGAGTCACAGTGTTCATTCTGAAGTTCATCGATCCTCCCCCCTCCAAGTTGAGATAGTTTTTTGAGTGACTACATGACCGTATTCTCTCCTCCTGCAGGCGGTGAAGAACAATTTGGTGCTCCACTGTAAGTGCCACGGGCTGTCGGGGTCATGCACCCACAGGACCTGCTGGAGGAGGATGCCTTCCTTCAGGAGCGTCGGCATACACCTCAAGGAGAAGTTCAACTCCGCCATCAAGGTACGCGAGGGTGGGGGACCTCTCTCTCTATATGTATTTATCTGTCACTCTCTATTATATTATTACAAATGCAGTTCACCCCGCTGGGAAATCCTAAGGTCTCTCTCTCTCTCTCTCTCTCTCTCTCTCTCTCCTCTTTTGTTTGGCTCTTATTTTCTGTCTTCGTTCGTCAAGAGGAGTCACATAAGAAATAAAATCCTGTGTTTCTACAGTGATTCTTAGTTGCAGTTTTCACGTAATTTAGAAGTAGACAGTGTTATAAGACTGACCATTACCAACCTACCCATTCCAACAATTCCAAGTAAACCATTTCAACAATTCCAAGTCATTCCAAGTAAACCATTCCAACAATTCCAAGTCATTCCAAGTAAACCATTTCAACAATTCCAAGTCATTCCAAGTAAACCATTTCAACAATTCCAAGTCATTCCAAGTAAACCATTTCAACAATTCCAAGTCATTCCAAGTAACCCATTCTAACAATTCCAATTAATTCCGGGTAACCCATTCCAACAAATCCAAATCTTCCCAGTGAAATCCAAGTAACCACGGCCATAATTCTTGGTGTTTTAATGGAAGTTCCAAGTAAACCATTCCAGTAATTCCATGTGATTTCTGGTAACGTATTCTCACCGTATTCCAGGTCATTCCCAGTAACGACGGGGAGACGGTCATCCCAGAGACGGAGTCCGCCATTTTACCCAAGAAACAGGATCTGGTCTTCTTGGAGGACTCGCCTAGTTTCTGCAGGTAGGCCTCAGGTCACAGGTCATGTTGGGTTTAGGTCACAGGTCATGTTGGGTTTAGGTCACAGGTCATGTTGGGTTTAGGTCACAGGTCATGTTGGGTTTAGGTCACAGGTCATGTTGGGTTTAGGTCACAGGTCATGTTGGGTTTAGGTCGCAGGTCATGTTGGGTTTAGGTCACAGGTCATGTTGGGTTTAGGTCACAGGTCATGTTGGGTTTAGGTCGCAGGTCATTTTGGGTTTAGGTCACAGGTCATGTTCGTTTGGGTTAGGTGAGTTTTTATTGGCTTGGCAGTAGGGGGTTTTATCATGAGGTGAAATAAGCTAGGGTGCCTAAAGAGGATGACAGTTCAGCAACACTTCAAAGAAAACTAAAACAACAACAACAAAAACCTTTAGTTTTGAGTAGTATAAGAATTATTGAGATGAATTAATTATTATATTAACGTGGGATAGATCAGTTTTTGTAAGGACACAATATTTCATATGAACAAGAGATGTACTTTAATTATGTTCTCCCGTCATCATCAGTAGCCTTCTACACTTCTACAGGATGATTGAATGATTAAGTACATACAGTAGTTGCTCCTTGTTGTACCTGCAGTGTTATGTACCGTACAGTTGCCTCAAAGAGCTCCTTTACTCCCTGTGGTGACGTTACATACTGTACTGTACATGTGGCAGAGTCGCAATACTAAACTTATGAATGAATGGGTAGTAGTTTTGTAACGATGGAGCTGATTGGTGGATAAATTCAGATGCTGGACGTCAGGAGAACGGGGGGGAGGTGGTCCCTGCCCCTGAGGTAATGTGAACACCTTTACACTCGCCCTCTGTCGTCTGGAAGCTTCTGTTGTAGTCACTTATAAACACTTCCCAAGTCACCCTTCCTCTTTATTTATAGAAGAAGAATCTAATAAATAAACAACAATATATACAAATATAAAGTCATTCATGCAAATTAAGACAGACCAATTTTTTTTTTACGAAGGAAAAAAATTTAAATTTATGACGAAAATATAAGGAAGGTCAGTCTAGAAGAATTAAGTGTATGAGAGAGTGAAGGAATGAATGAGCTCGGTAACAATGAATGACCCATGACCTTCATAATCAATATGGTATATAACTATCACGACCAAATTATAAAGATTATGACGAGTCACTAGAGGGGGTAAAGGACCTCTTTAAGGCAACTGTATACCTTCTTCTACTTATAGTAAATATTGGGAATGGTATCCACGCCTAACATCTACTGCGATCATTTTCAGCATCTAATGTAAATAAAACAAAGTAAATAACAATGTAGGTTTAACAAGGAACAACAATATGATTGATTATATTGCAGGTGCATTAGGACTTTTCGATCAAGCTGTAGATATTGCTCCCCACTGCAGTACCCAGCCGTCACGTCTCACTGTGTTCTCTTACAGCGTCAACAAGAGGACCGGGTCCCTGGGCACTCATGGTCGTGTGTGTAATGCCACCACCTCTGATGGCCTGTCTGACTGTGAGCTGCTGTGTTGTGGTCGAGGATACACTCAGGAGGAACACTGGGTAGGTCCTCCTCCTTACTGGTGATTAACCGCTCTAACCTAACTCTTCCCAGGTAGCGTTAAGGTGTTTGATCATCAGCTAAGACATTTATAAACTTTAAATTACTGCATAAGATAATATTTTGTTGGAGTCTTGAGTTTTAGATTAAATATAATTATCTATTTTTAATATAAAATAGTAGTACAAGTACTAAGTGTTACAATTAAAACAAAGTTTCATTTTCAGTTTACAGTAATGTACTATATATACAGTTGATTTAAACTAAAAGAACAAATAAACATCATATGTCACTTAATAGACGTTTTTTTATATGTTTATGTCACTTTATTAGATATCAAGGGCTTTTGTATAATCCTCTTGTTACCACAAATATTTCATTAAATCTACTGAATCGAGTAGATTTTGTTTTATGTTTGTTTTTCAGATGTTATCGATTTTCTTCCATTGGTATAATTCTGTATAAATACACACACACACACGCACACACACACACACACACACACACACACACACACACACACACACATATATATATATATTCTCCCATACTAGAGTTTCATATCCCAGTCTTAGAACTTGTACAAACATATGTTTTTCTCTCAGGTGGAGGAGAACTGTCGGTGCCGCTTCACCTACTGCTGTGAGGTGACCTGTCAGAAGTGCCGTACTAAGAAGGTCACATCTTACTGCAGATAGAACAAGCGAGGGAAATAATAGACAGTAATGATAATACTACTGCGAAAGAAAAGGAAAGAAAGCCAAACAAGTGGGAATGAAAGAGGTTAATTAACTGAAGGAAAGTGATTGATTACCTAATAAACCGAAAGAAAATGGTTGATTACTTAATTAATTTTAGTGTTTGAGTGTAATTATGGGTGACCTTAAACAAGAACTACAACAGAGTTATGATTATCTCCTGTTCTGAAAAAGAAAGAGAGGAAAGGGCCTAAGATGTTTATATAGCTAAAGCTTGAGTGTTTGGTTGTACAGTAATCATATACGATAAACAAGAAGAATGACAAATATTGGTACTTAAGCCTTGGAGTGAAAACGAGAGAAACAAGCCATTTATGAAGTCATGTCTGCACAATTCTAACACCTGAGTGTTTAAGCGTGTTTAGGCGTTTAAATAAATATGTACACTGATAATCCCTGGTGTGGAAAATAGAGGAAGAAAATAGTCATGAAATCGAGTGTTTGACATTCTGAAACTATAAACTTCTTCAGTGTATTTGTTCAGAAGAAAATAAATAGAATAGTAATAGTAATCTTTGGAATAAAAAAACGTAAGGAAGTCAAATCTGATTAACAAATATTAATGACGTGATTGTTTTAGTGTTATTACGTAAGAGATAAAGATATAACAGGTGCAAGATACCTGACACAGACTTATGGTGTCTTGGTGCAGAACCTGGAGGTGACAAGTGGTTTGTGAACTCTACCTACTGTTGTATTGAAGTCCAATTATTAGACTTAGATAGCTTGGATAATAATCCGATCGTTTAGTAAAGATTGAAGTATTATACAAGATCAAAAGAGAGCATTGCTTTAGGGATAACAGAGGATGATAAGTCTGATGTAATGCTTTTATGATTATGTTGTATACAGTATATGCGGTGTGTTTGAGAGGTTTGTGTATTCTTTGAAGACAGTGTTTGTTTTCTGAAACCAAGATTTTAGTATATTGTATATTGAGATCTCTACTGTTTACGTTATGAGTCGAGCTTGGCAGATTAGCTGATTTTCAGTTGTTTTGTAAGAATAGTCATATTTTTTCTAGATCAGCTTTTACATAATTTCATAATGTTGTGTTTCATTTTTGGTATTTCGCTTGTCAAGATTATTAAACATCATTCATTAAATAATAGTTTCTGCAGCACACAGCTGTTACACAGTGACACACAACTGTCACGGAAAAATAAGCAAACATTATCAAATTGATGCATTATATTGTTAAATGCTGTAATTATTGATGTCAATATATATTTTCCTAAGTTTAGATTTTTTTGTAGAAATAGTTCTGCCAAAAAGTTCTGTTGCACATTAGTTTTTTTATCTTGCCAATGAACCAAAACTTGATATTTGGAACTGCCAAGTATTGTTACACCACGCTTTCAACTTTATGAATATTTATTTATGTTAAATCATCACCACTATGCCTTAAAGTTCCTTTAATCTATTAAGGACTTTCACTGTTCTTGCTATGCTAACATTATATTGCTTAAGCCCTATAAACACAACACTCACTACACCCACAGGTATCCTCATTCAGTACACCGACTGGCTTTATATTTACACCTCCACTACGCATTCAACAAAACCACTTGTTTTTACTGACACCTTTACACAGACTCTAAGCTTCCAAAACATTCACTGAAATTCCGACTTCAGTATACTGATAACGTTACACTGGGTGTACTGTACATTTTAGTACACCCACACACTGTACGTCTAACACAGCCATAGCACTATACTTTTAACACAACTGCTGAACACCACAGGTTCAGTAAAAGCTTGCTACTATACCATCTGTCCACCTACAAGCAACACAAGCAGGCGGAACTCACACTAGCAGCGATATAAGTCTTTCCGTGATATTATCGTAATTATGAATACTATTATGAAAATATGAGTGTTGCTTGTGACAACGGCCATGTGTCTAATAGCTGGTAAATACCAACAGTCTCTATGATAGAATAGTCTCTTATAATTATATATTATATTGTATTTTTATAATTGTATAATTTTATAGAGATAATTGGTAAACACCTCTGTAAGATACAATATTATGGTGAACATCATATGGTAACTATGGGGACGCCTTGATGACGTCACTAACAGGTGAACGACGACAGGTTGTATAAATATTATTGACTTTATTTGTGTATTACTTTATCCTTTTTAATGAAGGGTTTGATGTAAATCAAGAAGGAAAATCGAATCTAAATTTTTAAATTAACTTTTTAATTTTTCCCAGCTAACACTATTGTATGTTTACATGCCATATAACTAATATAGAGTGGCTAATGTACGGAGAAGTTAGTCTTGTAAAACTATTCATTTTGGGGGTAAAAGAAATGGAGGCTTGACGGCTTTAAACTTTGAAAACAAAAAAACGAGTGCTTACTCCTGGGTGCCGCATAATTCAGTATAGTCTGCCGTCTGAGTGGTCAGTAGATAAAGACGTTTTCCAGGTACTCCGGGTACTAGTTTACCGGCGGCATAATGTGCGGACATACGAATTAGTTACCAACCTCAACACCCGCTGGACCGCAACACCTGCTGGACCGCAACACCTGCTGGACCCGCCACCGTCGCGTCAAGGTAAGTTTCCATGTTTAATTTTGAAAAAGTACACATTTTCAGTAAATACTTATATGAGTTAGCACCCTAATTGAAAACTCATAAAATAAGGCACAAGTGAAGTTTCTCTGTAGCTGTGAGGTTTGAGCGTCGGAGTAATGTGCGTTATCTTATATTCTTTCTATGTCTTCAAATTTGAGTAACATTTGCTGACCTTCACAACTTGATATGGTATGTGAGCGTTTATTGTACGGTGTAGCTAAGCATAAGTGAAAATGTTCTATAGAAACGGTCTTAAACTGCTAATGCATCAGGCTGCTTGGGGCGTCATGTTACGATGGCTTGGAGCCCCATACTATATTGTAGTAAACTGTTGAATTTAATTAACAAGATGCTATATATTCAAGTGAAGATCAACAAGACTTGCTGGTTTCAGATTGGACTAGATGTATATTAAATATTATAAACCTGAACTACTAGGCTGGGCTACAAATACTGCCTGAGTAAAATACAGCCCTTTTTACCTCTTAGACTTAATTTTATGCTACCAATAATGTTTCTTAGACATTTTTAAAAGCTGAATTTGTTTAAAAAACCACCCCTAAATTGTTCCGGCTTCGTTTTAGGACTTGGAAAATTGTTTATAGATGAAGCATACCAGGTATTGGCAAAACTACAAGGAACAACACGGGGATTTAAATAGTACAGGAGAATTTATATTCGTTTGGGATTTTTTTCATAAAGTATTACCAAAATTTCTCCTGGAGCAATAAAACTCAGGTTATGACGTAACTTGCTTTAGCTATGGCAGATGAACACATAAGTTTTTTTTTTAACGACAGATCCAAAATTACGGCGACAATTATAATAATATCTGCCACCTAAGTAGACCATAGCAATGTTGTTGTTGTTATAATGTAGTACTGCTCTTCAACATGCACTCGTTATAGATATGGATCCTACTTTGTTGATTTGTTATGCTGACAGTTGTTAACGCATAACATACGAAATTCAAACTAGAAGTGGATAATCGCAGTAGCATAGTAAGCCAGGTTTGATGGTACCAAGATAACGAAAACACTGTGCTGTGGTGTAAGGAATCGCACTTATTAATTTATGACAACGAAACATGCAATAATATGGAGAGCTGCCACCCGGTAACTCCGACAACCCGCACTCTTGCCTGGTTATACAACAGCGACAATGAAGATGCTTATTCCTCTCAGCTGAATCCATTTCAAGGTGCGCTTGCTTTTCCCTTTATTTTAATGTTTTTGTTAGTGGGCAGTAGGCCACTGTCCACCCGTTTGTGCTCTGCTTACAGCACCAGTTAATGGAAACCAACCATCACTGAACTAGGACTTTAGAGCCATTGTGGAAATGCTCAGTGGTCCACTTAGCGTTTCCACATTGGTTCGTACCTTTTATAAAGTTTTTAATTCACCAGAGTTAACAAAGGCAATGGCCTACTCCCCATTTTGTAATTGAGTACTACGCTGTACTAGTATTTTCATGGTAATCATAAAACCACCTGAATTTGATCTTAACTTTTCCTAAGTGAACGTGTCAACAACTAGTCGTATTGTAATGTTTGTTATTTTTGTGTAATAGTTTTAAGTCAACTTGCTTACTGCATTTTTATAATCATGTTTTCATCCTTTATTATTCAGATTCCTGAATGTAATAAAGAGTAATATTTCGAGATGAAGTCTAGTAATGGTGGTCTAGATCACAAGAACATTGTGGGTTAAACGTGGTTCCTCGTTGAGTTAATGTGAAATTCATAATTATAGTCTGGGACGGAAATAGATACACCGCCATACGAACACCGGCGATGTGAGTGTCACACTTGGAGAATCTCCAAGATGAATCCCCTATTAATCTTCCCTCCCGCCACCATCATCATTATACTGCCCATTAAGTTGTGAATTTGCAGCAGTAAATCTTTCCGTAAATAGCACTACAGTTCTAACTGCACTAAAAAACAACAACTGCAGATGTCTCAAATTTGACGGATTCAAATTTATGAAAACGTTCAGTGTAAAATGATAAACTTACACCTTGAAATTGTCTGTAGAATACAGTACGAGTGCCCTGCTTTGCACTCTTACCACAAAGGTTAATACACCTAAACAAAATCAAAGCAAAAGAAGTCACCCAAAGTGAAAACAGTGCAGATAGGTCACAGTGACTTGTGATGTGATGATTTATTTACGATGCTTTGGTGATTTTAACCAATTTACCATTCAAGGAGAATTTGCAAACTGGGAATTTTTAAGCTTATGTGATGTAGCCCATATAGAAATACTTTTCACAAGTTTCCGCACTAAACCCTTGCCAAACCGTCAGCGGCGGTAAGATCCTCATGCTTGTTCAGGACTGTACCTCGCAGTTTTCGTAACTTCGTGTTAAAAGACTTGAAACATGGCGGGCAACCCTGTGTAAAAAAATAATTATGCATTTCATTAAGGTAGTAAACATATGGGGGAGTAGGTGGAGAGGGGTGAATAACCTACAATTAGCTCCAGGTATCAACGTAGGGGAGGTGTTTATTTTCACTAGTAATATGGCATCTCATAATGAGTTTGGGTTAAAAAGGTCAATAATGACCGGGGTATAAGCGTAGTAGAGGTGTAAAACTAATGGAAACTGAAGGGTAATTGTAGGTCTTGTTCATCAGTGGCAGACTCTTAGGATAGAGGTAAATGAAAAGACAATTTATTTATTATTTTAGGGGGATGAAAACTGGATATATCAGGTTACATTACAGCTAAGAAAGATTGATGCATTAGTGTTTAATTAAGAATCTGATAAATATATACTGTATACAGTATATGTTAGACATACCTGAGGCACACTAATAAGAGTGGTACTATTCATGGAGAGAATAAAAATATCCTAGGAGTATAACCAGAATACTGTACGATCTATACGCCTTTCGAGCCTGGCAGAGGCTTGACTATCACGTAACACGATACAGCCATTTAGGAATATAATTTTAGATAAACGATACCTGGTGAACACCGACTGTTCAGTTAGACTTGTTCCAAGGGGAGTTGTACCCAATAACATATGATCTATTCAGGAGGAACAGGATCTATGGATATAATATTATTAGGGAAAAAGGACCCGCCTATTGTACCTCAGTGTGAATTACACTATTTCTTCCTGCATTTGTATATAGGTTCCATCAGACTTTTGTTTGAATTGAATACACGATCATACAATGTTATTTGTTCACGGATAATAATAGTGAGTGAGGGAGGGATGTCGGTCTGTATACTCCCTGAGTCGTGTCGTTGAGTTTAATTAACAGTTCAGTGTTGGAGGGGGAGGCTTGCTCGATCCAGTTTTCCGGCTTATCCTGACATGGACAGGTGAGAGAGTTGAGGAGTCGACAACACAAATATTTTAAGTACATTAGGATGTTACATAGTCCTTTATTAGGTGTGGGTATCAGGAATTTGTTGAGCTGATATATGCACAAAGTGATTCGTTTCCTTCGCGTCCTTACTGCCCTAACACCAGGTATACTGTACCTTCTGTCCCACTAACCTTTGCTGTTCACCCTGGCTGGCTGTACTCCCCGCCAGCCGTCATCACTAGGCTTGTCCCTCTTGGTGAGTTCCCGCAGGACTAGTCAGGCAGCCTGCTGTATCACCACCAGCTTAGCACTGACTTGTTCTGACGTGCACATTCACCGCGATATCTCACCCCTGCTCACCGCTTACTTTTATTAAATATAAAAGAAACAGGATTTTGTAAGTGCAGTTGAGAAAAACATTATGACGCAGTGAAGGTTAGAGGTCCGATTCCAACACTGGGGTTGGGTGTGTACCAGCAGCGTCTCGTTCGTTTATTGTACTTTATATTCCGGTGGCCCAGTTCCTCAAACGGTGGCTCGTTACTTGTGTCAGCCAATAATAATATGCAGCTAACCGTTAGCTTGTTAGTGCGCTATGTACCGTAGATCCCGGCACTAAAGTTGGTGTGATGTGTTATAAAGATGGTAGAAGTAGTTTATCACTATCAACAGTAACGAATGGGTTTCTAGAACAAATAATTTTTGCTTTCTAAGGTGAAAACATTACTGCAGAAATATTTCTAATATAATTATGACTAATATTAGAGGTGTGACAATATCTCCTCCAACTTATCTAAATAAAACCTTTTTAGTTCGTACGTCTCTGGACGGTAAGAAAGTTATAGTTACGGATATAAGTGAGTTATGAAGCCATTCACTGGCAGTATTGAACAAATATTTAGTAGGTGCTGTCAGTCGATTTTCTTCAGTACAAAGCCTATTGGAAGGTTTCATCAGTAAAATGTTTAATTTTGGTGAATTAACTTAAGACGTCTTATAATGATATTGAATTTTATGGTTTCAATTATTAACATAAGATAATGTTGATTGACACTTGCTTCTGTAAACTTGTTTTTCTCAGCAAACGATATTAGCCGATCATTTCTTGGCTAATTAATTTAACGAAATTTGATATAATAAAATCTGTGAGTGAACTGCTTGAGAAAAGTGTTGTTCTTATCATTTAACTGAAAGAGAGAAGTGGCTGGGACA